CCAAATAGTATTTGTTGGAAGATGGAAGTGGATGAGGTCTGTAGTTTTACTGTTTGTTCCATTTGGTTGTTGCCAGTCTCTCATTCTGTGTTGTAGGTTGTATTGGCTGACTGACCTACTGTAGCACTTGTTTTATTTTATATGAAAGACTTTTGAGTTAATTCTTCTCTACCTGCTTCAAACAATGAAAGCGTCCTCCCTCACATGGGGCATCATTATTCCTAACTACTGGTTTTCTTGCCATAAAAACATTTCAATCCATCTACCTAGAGCCATTTCAGTTTTTCCCAGGCTATGCTTTATTTATTTATTTAAAGTATTTTTATAGGGCCCATTCCTTTAATGGGGTCAGGGTGGCTTACAAAAATACAATTAAAATAGCAAATACAATTGACACAAGCCTTAAACATTTATTCAACCATGTAACAATTTTTTTGAAAAAATAAAACAAATTTCGAAATAATTAAAAGGCCTAAGTAAACAAATAGTGTTAAGCCCCATTCTAAGCTCTTAAGTCCAGCAATGCTTTGTTCTGCAATATGGGCCTTAACATGAAGAAAAGAGAATTAATGTCAAATGTATATGTGGCAAGATCCACAAAAGGTGCCTGGTGATGATTAAAGAGTCAGAGGAATACTGTGTGAGAGTAGGTAGGTATATAGGTAGCTCGCTCCTTAGCTTTATATGGCTTTATATACTACTATGAGCTATATGTGGCTTTATACACCATTTGAATTGGGCTTGTAACCAGTAGGAATTAAACAGCCATCTGTCAATAAGTAGGCCCAAACAAATCCCCTGCCACATTCTGTTTTATCTACCTAATACAGACCAGGTTGGCCCCTTAATTTATTATGAGATTATGAACATTATCTTTTTTTTTTAAAGACTCACCTGGCATTCAGTGTAAGTATGCATTAATTATTTATTTATTCAATTTTGATGCCCTCTGAGTCCAACCAACTTATGATGATGTCATCACTGTGCCTCCTTTATATTCACCCCTAGCTCTGCACCATAGCAGCTCAAGACTCCTGTCCTCATACTTCAGGAAGTAACCTCAAATTCTGTGGTAATCTGACTTGCAAACTATGCAGAGGAGACACTGGTAGGAACCATTCTAACTGAATGGGTTTTACCTCCCTTCATAGATCTGCCTCTTTCCTTTCCACCATCTATCCCTCTGTCCCATAATACTGGACTAGGGAAGAAAATAAAACTCAAATGTCCAAGCTTCAATTGCCTTTTTTAAACCATAGAAATGTGATACAAACAAGGCAAACAATAATTCAGAGCAGCAGATTAACAAAAACTAGATACTAAAAGATGGATGTCCTTTATCCTGGATCTCATTTACAATTCTGAAAACCAACCCATAGTGAGCTACATTGCCCTATTAACTCTAGCCTTCTTATTCACAGCCTATATGTTAAATAGGCAGGTTGTACCTGTGTGGCTGTGGCTAGGCTCTCCCCCATCTTCATCCATCCATCACACCAGCAATAACTGAAATAAAAATAACCCTACCAGCTATCCCATTGTTTCACCCAGGGATGGCCCAACTATTTCCATTAATATCCAGACCCAAATAAATAACCATTGTCCTTCTTACTACCCAAAGGAGTAATCCAAATGTGGACATCCTTTTGGTGCCTCCGCCTTCAAGGTCAATCCCAGAGTTTGCTTACTGCATGTTTCAGCCCTGAACTAAATATCCTACCACCTCTTTCAGAAGCTTCCAAGCCAGGTGGCTTTCTTATCCCTGCAGAGTTCTGTTTTTCTCAGTCCATCATATAGATTTAGCCATCAAGTCAGTTTAGACTACTTCCGGTGCAACACCAACTTATTCAGCCTGTGTTCTGAGTCCTTGATTAGACTCAGTTGAAATGGAGTAAGTGATCTCAGCACACACTTAGCATAACAGGCATGGAAAAATTAAATTACACATGAAAACAATTTTAATGGCATTAATCCCTCAGATACAAATGCCATATTTATGTATACAAAATATGTGTAGTAAGGGGGAGATGCCAAAGATTTGGTGCTGTTATAATACTAGTGAGAAAATGTAAACTTTGGTGTTAAAAAAAGATCCCAAAAAGAAATTGACAACCATACTCAAACATTTATTTCATGCAAATGCTCTGTTCTCATGAGAAACAGGTCTAAATCCCATTTAACAGTTTAACTCAAATCATTCCAGGGTTTCCTTAAGCCCAAAATAAGTTCACTGTTTCATAGCAAGGACAAGCTGAAGGGATTAACCTATATTGTAATAAAAATGCAAAGGCCCTTTTAGTTTAAAACAGATGCTGGTTGTGGAAAATATTGGGATTAGAAGGGAATGGTAAGGTGAAAAGTTGTTGCATTCAGTTGTGCTCACAGCCTTGTTGTATGCAGTGATTGCATCTTCCAATGCAGGTTTCATGGAACAGCTCATCCCCAGAAGGGAACTCTGATACAGTGGGGCAAAAAAGTATTTAGTCAGCCACCAATTGTGCAAGTTCTCCCACTTAAAAAGATGAGAGAGGCCTGTAATTTTCATCATAGGTATACCTCAACTATGAGAGACAAAATGGGGAAAAAAATCCAGAAAATCACATTGTCTGATTTTTAAAGAATTTATTTGCAAATCATGGTGGAAAATAAGTATTTGGTCAATATCTTATTTTCCACCATGATTTGCAAATAAATTCTTTAAAAATCAGACAATGTGATTGATATTGACCAAATACTTATTTTCCACCATGATTTGCAAATAAATTCTTTAAAAATCAGACAATGTGATTGATATTGACCAAATACTTATTTTCCACCATGATTTGCAAATAAATTCTTTAAAAATCAGACAATGTGATTGATATTGACCAAATACTTATTTTCCACCATGATTTGCAAATAAATTCTTTAAAAATCAGACAATGTGATTGATATTGACCAAATACTTATTTTCCACCATGATTTGCAAATAAATTCTTTAAAAATCAGACAATGTGATTGATATTGACCAAATACTTATTTTCCACCATGATTTGCAAATAAATTCTTTAAAAATCAGACAATGTGATTGATATTGACCAAATACTTATTTTCCACCATGATTTGCAAATAAATTCTTTAAAAATCAGACAATGTGATTGATATTGACCAAATACTTATTTTCCACCATGATTTGCAAATAAATTCTTTAAAAATCAGACAATGTGATTGATATTGACCAAATACTTATTTTCCACCATGATTTGCAAATAAATTCTTTAAAAATCAGACAATGTGATTTTCTGGATTTTTTTCCCCATTTTGTCTCTCATAGTTGAGGTATACCTATGATGAAAATTACAGGCCTCTCTCATCTTTTTAAGTGGGAGAACATGCACAATTGGTAGCTGACTAAATACTTTTTTGCCCCACTGTATCTCTTTGGATCAGGTTGCACCTTTGGCTAAGCATCAGAGGATTTTAGGAGTTAAGCTGAGCAATGTGGATAGCGTAACTCCAATTAACATAAACGGAGCAGTTGATACAAGGCATGGGAAAATAGATACAAGGGGCTACATAAAATATGCAGGATAACAGAGTGATCTTGGGTTAGAACAGCTAATAGTGTTAAAATGGTTTTTGGAGCCATAAATAAAATGAACATTGTCTTTAACTCGCTTTGAATTGGATGCAATTTTAGTTTATTTAGATGTACAAAAATCAGTCTAAATCTAATTCAGTGTGAACAGTCTTACAATTGATGTTCAAGGGAAAATACTGGATTAAAATCAGATTGCCAAAGGTGATCTTGAGATTATGAACATGAACTTTTTTTTAAAAGACCCACCTGGCATTCAACGTAAGTATGTATTGTTGATTTCTTGAAGAAATTAATAAATGTGATCATAGAACTCATTGGATCTGTTGCTCTTTCGCAGCCCAAGGTACTTTAGAGGATTGTTGCCACAGGGGTAGAATTAGGGAAGACTCCCATGTACGGTGTCTTGAGTTCTAAGAGTTTAGGCTTATATTCATTTATATCAGTTCTTTACATTGAAAAATACACCTCATTTCAGTTCACCCACATAAAAGCTTAAAATAGTCAAATAACACTGGACTCTAAATGGAATTTTATAATTTTAGAATGAAAGACTGTAAGAAAAATTAGTCTTTGTAGCAAATTTACTTAGAGAACACTTCAGTCTAGATCTGCTAACTTTGAAGCTAAAATACTTAACTTGACAGACTACCATTAGATACAAATTTGTCTGGATAAGGCAATGTAATTTATATTCAATTTATGTTAATGTTATATGTCATTTGTTGTAATTTATACTATTTGCATACTGCTGTTTATGCAAATTGATGCAAATTATATGATTTGCATGATTTGTATATTGGCATCATTACACAAATTATGTATGTTGATACAAATGATGTAATTTATAGTTTGACCATATTAGGAGTAATGAACACCACTTCCCCCAGTTAGTCTAGTCAATCAAGCTGTCTTGCATACTTTAATGCATTTTGTCATTTGTGACATCTATGTAGCATTGATTAATACTGTATCTTGAGAAATGGAATCATGTGATAACCAGTATTTCTCATCAATCCACTATCATACATATTTTCTCATCATTTACTGCCATCAATAACCTATTAATAGATGTTAGATCATGATGCATCCTTCTACAAACACACATTATAAGTGTGTCTGATAATGCAAGTATTTACTATGGAATATAGTACTGTACCATGGGATAACTGAAGATTTTCATTTCAGGTTCTCAAAATGCAAATTTTTATTTTTAAAAACTTGAGTTTTGTACTAAAATGAGTAATGGTAACAAGTTATATTTAACTTGCTGAACTATAAAGGAAGTTCCTTTCACTTAAACTTAATATAAATCAGTTAATGATTAAATTGCAAGCAGTTGTTTCTGTAATTGTCCATGTTTTGGCTGTAGTTTTATCTCCTTGAACTATAAGTTTGAGAATCTAAAAGTGCTATTTTACAGGTATCCAGCTGCCGAAGGAAGATGATATTTCTACCCCTGTGATATCAAGCTCTCCTACTAAAGAAACAGATGATGGTTCAGATCTTTCAATTGAAGAGAGTGAGAAAATCAAAGAGGAACCTTTAACAATTTCAGAACTGATGTACAATCCAAGTACCAGCTTGCTCCCCACTCCTGTTAATGATGAGGAGATAGACCTTCTCTTTCAAACTTCTCCAAGGGCAGAAAATGGGAAAGAAGATACAGATTCATTTGAGGAACTGGAGGTAGATGAAAATGCATTTTTGGTTGCAGAGGAGGAAGAATTGAAGGAAGCTCGAAAAGCACTTAGGTGGAGCTATGACTTTTTGATGGGTAACTTGAAGATAAATGCTGTTCTGAAGAGTTTTTCCAGACTTCTTTTTGTTGGGCTTGGGATATTGCTTGTGGTTTTCCCTCTACTACTTGTCCTTCTGGAATCAGACCTTGACATCTCCTTCCTCCATGAAATCCGCCAGACACCAGAGTTTCAGCAGTTTCACATTGAATATTACTGTCCTCTCAGACAGTGGATAGCCTGCAAAGTAGACTTCATTAGCCATTTGTTTGGCAGCTCTTAAACATTAAAAATACGTGCAAAACTAAGGGCTATATTCAAAACTAGTGAATTTTAGTCAGTATTTAGGTGCTCATAAACATCCTGCAGGTTATCCTTGATTAGTTCTTTATTTTGATAGACAATAACTTCAAAATCCTTACATTTACTTTTCATAATTGAATAATTGATATAGATGTAGTAGTGGCCTTTAAATAACCAAAAAGTAGTATTTGTTTTTATTTGTTTTCCTGTTTTTATCAGTAATTCAACTGAACTGAAAGCTATCATTTCTATCATATCAAGCCATGTTGTCCTAATTTTAATCATTAACAACAAATGGAAGAGGATGCTTTTGAATATATTCCTTAGTGAAACAATATCTAGTAACCAATGCCTATATAAGCAAACACTGATTGCTCGGGTATTATTGTTGTTGTTGTTGTTATTATTATTATTATTATTATTATTATTATTATTTTGTTTGATTTTTTTCATTTAAAAATATTTTTATGTCTTTACAAATTTTGGTAAATTTTTAGCAAATGCAATTTCTGAAGATATTTAAGTGTACAGATGAATATGTGCACAAGGACATATCATGGATTTTTAAAGCATTTTAGCATTTTTTAAAAAGAAGAATAGTATTCTTCAGGATCTGCACAAGATGATGAATAATTGAGGTGGAAAATAGGCACGTCTGTTAGATGGAAGTGAAAGACTAATTTTTCAAATATCAAGTTTCAGAGGAACTACACATTAGGAAAAAATAGTGTAGCCATGATTTGCAGGTGAGTTTCAGGGGAGGAGAAAATACTTAGTTCTTCTTTATACACTGTTTTCTGTATGCACAATCAGCTTGGAAGGGTATTTGCAGAAAAGAATCAGTGGATACAGAAATGGTTAAGCATTTTCTCCTGTCTGTTGAGCCAGTCCTGCATATTCCCCATGTCTCTGTATTAATATTAACTGGCAGATACATGGTCAGTATAATGTGTAGTTCTACGTTAGCTGTTCTGAAACTAAAGAGTGGGACATAATTTTCTCAAGATGGCAATTTGGATTTTCCTGTGATGCACTCATGAAAGTTCTTTGCAAAGTAGCACAAGTATAGTTTTTCAGGAGATTTAGAGATTTTGAATTAACAATACATGATTGTAAGTTACATAGAAATTGTGATTTTTTTAAAAAAAGGTAAAGCTAGACCTACTGAAATAAATAACAGTTTTAAAAATTCACCTGTCTCCAAAGATAGAGGAAGTTTCTGTGAAAAACGTACTGCCCCCAGAATTTCAAACATCTGAAAAAAGTTAGTTTCTAATTATATTCATTATTTTTCATCATCATAAATCCCAGACTCACAATTTCATGCATTATTTCTTAAGCATGCTTTCTTCCTTAATGTAATTAACAATGGATGCACATTATTTATTTATAAAAGTGTCCTTTTGACAGTGGTGTGTTGTTATCTTTGTTGTCTTGATGGAGATTTTGTGCCTGTGTAACTCCAAGCTTTTTTAAAAGGCTGTCACTAAAATCTTGTTTATTTAGAGAAGATCAACATGTCCACATGCCCAATTTTCAAATGAAAGGAGGTATAAGCAGAAAAACAACTGAATATCATATTCGCCAATCTGGATTTCCTGACACAAAATTCACTCTTCCCCTTTCCTAACTATATCAGCGATAGGATATTTACACACAGTCCTACACTTGTGTCCTTAGAAATATGTTCAATTTAGATCCTACTTCCAGATTAATGGGTATAAGATTACAGCCTTTTGTTTCAAGGAAGCTCCCAAAACATGTCTTATTCTATTAATGGTTTTAGAATTGCTATCTATTATTACAAAATAATAAATATTAATTTCTAAATAATTCATCAAGTATATGTATAAAGTACTTAAAGTATATTTTAAACTTAAGAACTTTTAAAATATTTTTTTTTACATTATCCTGTTAAAAATATTGCAACAAACCTAACCAGTAATACATATACCTTTTAATATATAAACCTTTCTAACTAACTCCCATGTAATTCCCATGTGCTTAATTATGCATTGGATTGTGTATACAATTTGCACAAAGAAGATGTAGTATGTACTGTAGAAAAAATTATGAACTCCTGATTTAGAATGGTTTATGTTTTGGAGTTCTCACAGTTGTCAGGTGCAACTGGATCAGGGCACAAGCTTTGAACCGGATTCCCTTTTTTATATAATTGGCTAGTTGAAAAACCTGGGTAATTTCCCTTGCATGTCCTACATCATCTAAAAAGTAAATATAAAATACTCATACTTTTTTAGAGTAACTCTTTTCAATCATAAGTAAATATATGAAATGTTTTTGTATATCTCAAAAGTGACTGAAACCATGTACAATTTTATCTTCAAGCTATTTTAAAGCTCTTCCTTTCCTAAATTATTTCATTGCAAAAAAAAAAAAATCTATTATTTGGTGCATATTTAATCCTTTTTGCAACTTTGAGCTGAATCAAGAACCCAATCAGGAGGCATCTATTGTTGTTTTCCAAAACCAAAATAACAGTAATCTTAGAGATACATAGTTATAAAAGTAGATTATTATAGATATTGCAAATATTATAATAGCAATAAATCCAAACTCTTGTCTTGGTCCTCTAGGTATTTATAAAATACCAAGCTTTTTAATTATAGTTCCTGGATTCTAAAATGTAGTCTCGTCCATGTCCTATTGCTCCAGAATCATTAGAAGCCTTTGTTAGTATTAGTTAATTTGATCTGGGAAATGTTGAATTGCTTGAGGAACAAATTACCTCAGAGAATAAACTGTGCAATAAGGATATGCATAGAATGAAAGGCACGTGCATGTACATGAAAGGATAGAGATGTATCAATTGAATTGTGAGGGCTCTTTTCTAGATTACACATAGAAATGAGAAAAGACTGAAGAATATGTACATAAACCAGACCAGTTTTGTCTCCAGAACTGGAAATATCAGAGCTGGGATATGAAGAGTTCGTAGGTGCAGTATTGTGTATTTCTGTTTGTGCTTGGACTATATTGTAGAACATTCTGTACTTGACATATATTTTGTGATTTGTTTAATATTTATAAACACAAACTCTGAGAAGAATTAAATAGGGATTATTTCTCTGAAATGCAAATGGACAAGAATTCCGGGCGGGGGTAGGGCGGGAAATGTACCTGTAAACTTGAGCCTTATCTTTGTAAAGTGAATTTAACATTTCTATGTCAACATCTTGATTGTTTTATATGTTAATGTAATGATAGAACTCCCTAATAAAAATCTACTGAAAAAAGCCACTCCGGGCTGATAGGCTCATTGTGTAAATAGTTAATTGCCTAAGATGAAGAACTTGAATAGATTTGATTCATAGGTATCAGATTTATTTATTAATTCAATTCAGTTTTTTAGCCATTGTTGGAGGGATTGGAGTTTTTTCCTTTTTTGTTATTGTGAGCCACCCAGAGTCACCTGTTGGGGGAGATGGGCTGCATACAAGTTTAACAATCAATCAATCAATCAATCAATCAATCAATCAATCAATCTGATACCTATGAATCAAATCTATTCAAGTTCCAGACTTTCATTCAAGAGTTCAAAGTGATAGATAGATAGATAGATAGATAGATAGATAGATAGATAGATAGATAGATAGTCCTCGCTTAATGCCCACTCATTCAGCGACCGTTCAAAGTTATGCTGGTCCTGAAAAAGGAGACTTATGACCATTCCTTGAAGTTGCAGCCCTCACAGTGCCCCTGCAATCACATGATTGCGATTTGGCGCTTGGCAACTGCCGCACATTTACAACAGTTGCAGTGTCCCGCAGTCATGTGATGTCATGCTTAATGACCCATAGTGAATCACTTAACAACTGCAGCCAGAACTGATGAACTGATGTTGTAAGTCAGATGCAGTCATGTGACATTTCACTTTATGATTGCATCACTTAGCATTGGAGTTGCCATTCCCAGTTGTGGTCGGTAAGTGAGGACTACCTGTATAACACTATTGCCTATTTTTATCTCCATAACAATGAGCCTATGATGAAGTTTGGACTGAGAGATACTGACTGGTCCAAGATAATCCAGTGAGATTCCAATGCTGGAATCCATTAGAACTAGGTAGACTTGAAGCTGGTTCTCTCCAGCCTTGCTTGACATTTTAAACATACCATATTGGAATTAATGATACAGTCTAAACATCTGATGTACTCATGAGAATCTGCAAGGGGGCAACTGATATCACCTGTGTTGTAATGGTTTTGTGGTTGATACATATCACAGTTATATAATTGTGACATGATGACACAGATGACATGATTTCACATGTGACATTATCATAGCTTGTACTGGAGACTGAAGAATATACTAGCATCCTGTTCAAAAGATAAGTTAGTCTTCTCCAGCCTAGTATTTTCCAGGACAACAATGCAAGTATTCCAAGCCAATTGATTGGCAATCCAATTCATTTGGAAGGCATAAGTTGAGGAAAGTTGAGGCAAAAAACCACTAGTGGTAACAGCAGATTATCAGAAGCAAATGATGCTGATTAAGAATAATATTTATATACTACTCTCAAGCTAACAGTCATAAAGCAGTTTATAATAAACACTAACAGCACATTAAAACAGTGTAATTAAACATTTATAGTAATCAAAAGCAAACATACTGAGGAAATCAAAGGTCTGGTTAAAGAGATTTCTTTTTAATAGTTTACAAAACTGAAACACAAAAAAATTTACCCACCTTCAAAAAGAGGCAGTTTCACAGTAAGAGTAGACTTAGTAAATACCTGCCAAATATCACCATTGGTAGCCCACCACATACCTTACAGAAAGAGATACCAGAAATATTTAGAGTGTGAATGTGACAAATCTGCAGATGAAAAATAAAACTTGTGACATGCTTTTCAGAAAATGTATGCTTCATAAGTTATTCAAAGAATTCATGATTGAATTAGTTCTCCCAAGATTTCAAAACTTTTAAGAAAGAAAGAAAAAAAAAAGGAATAGCAAATGCTGTTTGATTGATAATGCAAAAAGTTTCCATCTGGAAATATTCCTAATTAGCAACAATCCTCATCTAGCACCACATAACACTGGGAAACTGCTGTTGAACTGGACCACAGTCCTGATGGTCCAATCCATATATTAATATCCCAAGATATGAAGTTCCTAAAAGCCCATCTTATGTGACAATAACATTCTTTTCTTGAAGGAGGCACAACTTTATCTATGTAGACAACTTCTAATACAATACAAAATACTTTAATAACCAAGTATAAAATATATACAAGGAATTTGTCTTCAGTGACGAACAGCAAGATCAACAGTG